CTGCCACACATGAGGCCATAGCTACACACATGAGTTCCCCAGCCCCGGGAAGAATCTCTGCAGCTCAGGGCTCAGGCCCACAGGAGTTTCTGCACAGCCGCAAGGACAAGGCCGCCGGCCACACTGCCTGGCCAGCGGGATCTGCTGGAGGCGCACAGACCCCTCCAGGGCCCCCGCTGAGTCCCACATGGGCTCTGTGGGGACAGCCAAGGCCCAGGGGCCACAGGACGCCCTGGCTGCGTATCCTGGGGAGCTCCTGGTGGCACGTGGCCTCCCTAATGATCTGGACCCACACGTGGCCCGTGGGGTCTGAGGCCTCCCTGGAGGTTCACATCTGCACCTGGCCCATGGTGGCCCATGGAGCCCCCAAAAGTCAGGGGAGCCACGTGCTGGGTGCCATGTGTCCTGGCCAGTGGGGGCTTTAGTCGGGACCATCCAGCAGCAGGAGCGGCCAGCAGGGACGGAGGCTAGACTGCCCAGCTGGGAGGACCCCGCACCCGAAGGACCCCGCACCCAGCAGGAGCTGATGAGATACCGGCTAGAGCCACTGCAGGGGCCACCAGCCCCTGGAGCTGATTGCTGGGACCCCACACTGGGGGTCTTGCTTCGGTCCCTGCCTGTCCTGGGGGGTCTTTGAAAGTGAGGGAAACCAACCCAGGACTGTAACAGAGGCTGCTGGCCGGCGTCCCCTGTGCAGTCACTGGGACAGGACTGTGTCTCCCCTATCCCTGCACCCGTACCTACTAGTGGGACCTGTAACCGTCTATGACATCATTTCCTGCCAGCAGTGTGCCTGCCACCGGCCCCCCCCTCCCCGCCAACCCGGGCCCCTTCCCTCAGGGAAGCTGAGTGGTGGGGGCCCTTCCAGTCCCCAGGGCCAGTGGGGGCACAGGTGGGGGGTCAGGCCATGAGCTGCCCGTCCTTCTGCTGGGGTGGCCTCCACACAGTCCTCAGGGACTGGGCCCCTCCCCGCGGTCCTCAGCCAGCTGCCCGGGAGACTCAGTGTGGCTCCCTAATGCCGAGGACCCCCACGCCTTGGAGTCACGGGGGTTGGCCTGCCACCTTGCTCAAGTGACCCTAACATTGCTCGGGGACCATACGTGGTGCCAGGATCAATCCAGGGCCAGTCATGAGCAAGGCCTCTGACCCTCCGGGCCCTGGTCTGGTTTCTGCCTATTCTGGTCACATCAGCTCCCACCCCCAACACACGGCTGCAGGATTTCATGACCGACTACAGGTTCTATTTTATTTTATTTTATTGCACAGCGGTAGGGCGTTTGCCTTGCGTGCAGCCAGCCTGGCCGAGCCGGGTTCGATTCCTCCACCCTTCTCGGAGAGCCTGGCAAGCTACCGAGAGTATCTCACCCGCACGGCTCTCCCTGGCAACCTACCCCTGACGTATTGAATATGCCAAACACAGTAACAACAAATCTCAAAATGGGACGTTACTGGGCCCGCTCGAGCAAATCGATGAACAACGGGAGGACAGTGTTTGTTTTTGTTAGCACAGCGGGTAGGGCGTTCGCCTTACACGCGGCCAACATGGCCGACCCGAGTTCGATTCCTCCGCCCCTCTCGGAGAGCCCGGCAAGCTACCGAGAGTATTCGATATGCCAGACACAGTAACAACAAAGTCTCCAATGGAGACGTTACTGGGCCCGCTCGAGCAAATCGACGATCAACGGGAGGGCCTTTACCTTTACCTTTTATTTTATTTTTATTTTATGGGGGGATGGTGCATGCCTGTTGGTACTCAGGGCTTACTCCTGGTTCTCGAGCTCAGGGATCACCCCAGGAAGACTTAAGGGACCTTATGTGGTCCTAGGGATTGAACTCAGGTCAGAGTCAGTGGCTGGCCCCTAAGCTCATGTCTCTGCTGCAGTTCCTGGGGCCGGCTGGCTCACGTGGAGCACCTGCCTTCTGGTGTGAGATCTCGGGCTCTATCCCCTACCACTCACATGCTACGTGTGATTCTGTCTCTGCCTGTGACCCCCAGACTCACTGTGACCCTGCCAGGAGATGGGGTGACAACGCCAGACAAACAGAGGGCGGGGGAACGCAACAGACAGGTCAGCGGTCGGCGGCCAGCCGCGTTTCCATGCACGCGGGAGCTTCTGGAGCTTTCAAAACGTCCATGGCACCGGTCACGGGAGCCAGTGACACTCTCAGAGGCCCCTTCCCGTCTCGATCAGGAGAAAGAGGTGAGGACACCAGCCCCTGTGGATCGCCTGGGTCAGCCCACCCAGGACCCAGGCCCTCTGCCGGCTGAGGGTGGAAAGGGCTGCAGCGCCACCTGCTGGTGGTAGCGGGAAGTGCATCTTTGGCCAGCTTGCCGGAGGTACCGATGAAGACCCGTCCACCCCTCAGCCTCCTGTCTGGCTCTTCGTCCCCCACTCTCTCCAGCCCCCAGACGCCCGACAGGCCCTCCTCCTGCAGCCGCCACCACCTTGGAGATCTTCCAAGGTCCCCACTCCGAAGAGCGGCAACCTCAGTGTGCCCGTCTGTCAGGTGGGCGCAGAGGGCCATGTCCCCAAAGGCGAGGGGAGCACCTTCCCAGCCCAAGCCGCGTCCCCTCGGTGCCTGCTGCAGGCCCGGGGCCGCAGAGTCCTTACAGTCCTCCAGGGCTTCTCCATGTCCCCCTGAAAAGCTGCGTCTCATCTCCGTGGGAAGCCGGGCAAGAAGAGCCGCTGGCCAGAGCAGGCTCACCGGGCTGGTGCTCGTCCCCTCTCGGGAACAGGAAGTGATGGCACAGCCAGGTCAGGACAGAGACTCGGCCCCGAGCTGCCACGGTCCTGCTCCTGGGTCGCACAGGGCAGCCCCCAGCTCTGAGGGGCCACAGGAGCACGGTGTGGGTGGGCAGACCTGGGAGGGCCAGCACACTGGACAGAATAGGCGCATTCCCTAGCACGGCCCATGGGGACAAGGCCTCACCCTGTCCCACCTGGGCTCACCCACGTGTGTGAGTAGGTGGCACCTGTTTCTGACTAAAAGTCTATTTTCACGACAGTGAGAAGGCTTGAATAAACGCCAACTAGAGATATCTGTGTGTGAGTTTTCCGTGCCGATGGCATCCTTGAGTCACTGCTGTGTAAATAATAATATTCTGGTAATGCAGGGGGGGAAATCACAAAAATAACATTAGCAATATATTTATGATGGATCTAATAAAAGAATCTCAAGGACACTGTCAAAGATGTTCAAAAATATTGAGTGTTATGTATTTGGTGAGGGCCTGGAGGAATGAACGGACAGACAGATGGATGGGAGAGTGGGTGGACAGGTGGGAGGGTGGGTAGGTGGATGGATGTGGATGGATGGATGGGTGGGTGGGTGGGTGGGTGGGTCATTGCGGGGGGGGGGATGACGGGGTCATGGGCGATAGAGCCAATGATAAGCATGACCAGAGAGGCACTGGACCAATTCGGGGGCTGATGGTTTGGGGCTCTCTGGGCTCTTGGTGCTGACTTGGAGGAGGAATGATGTAGGCAGGCAGATAGGAAAGATAGGAAAGGCCCCCTCCCAAGACAATGGTAATAGATTCACTAGGAAGTCATAGCCTGACCTTGCAGGAAACCAGGAGCTAAGGCCTGATAAGACCCCACCTGGCGTCAATCTGTAGCAGACCCTGAAGAGGCTGGACCCCCTTGACAGAAGCTCCAGCAGGAACCAAAGGAATTTCAAAGAAGACCATCACCACTCCCAACCCTACCCCCTTGGCAACCTCCTTAGCAACAGACTCTGACCTAGGTAGGAGCTGCACGTGGGAGCAGGTGGGAGCAACCCTATAAAGGCCACCTTGAACAAAGGAACGGCGCTTATATGCTGCTGTGCCCACATGGCCGAGGACACGTGTTGCCCGCATCTCCCCTCTTGAGCTATGGACTTTCCTGTCTAATGCTGGGGTGTGTGTAGGGCTCCCTTTGCCCTGGGAGAAGCTCCCGTTCTCTCTTGAGCACATTACTCTGTCTCTCTCTCTCTCTCTCCCTCCCTCCCTCCCTCCCTCCTCCCCTTCAAACCCTCCAAATAAAATCTGCTTTACTTCACTGTTTGTTCTACTCCTGAAATTCCTTTCTGCGAGGCGAGACAAGAACTCAGTAACCCTGGGTCCTGGGTGGCAGAGGCAGATGGGGGGAAAGTGACCATCTCTCTCTCTCCTCACTTCACATGAGTCACCCATGGGGCCCACCGGCATCAGGAAGAGGCACTTTGTGCGGGTTTGAAGAGCCAGTGTGTGGGCTCCGACCAGCCCTGGCTCTCTGCGTCCTGGGACCGGGCAGAGGCAAGTTACGCCTCTCTGGGCTCCAACGGGCCCCGAAGCAGCCTCCCAGCCTGTGGCCACCCCTGCCCTCAGCCTGGGGTCCCCGCTCTAAGGGCCGGACAGCAGACACTGCTGCATGCCCCGCCCCCCCCCCCGCCTCCTGGAGAACAGAGCTGACCATGGGCACAAGTGGCCAGTCTGCAAGGACTAGAGGCAGCGCCCTGGACGCATCATCTTTATTGTCGGGGGTGGGCTGGCAGGAGGGGTGTGGGTGTGGGGCTGGGTAGGGGGCTGGCAGGGGCCACGTGGCCACACGGATTCTGCCAGGTGCCATCCATCTGTCTGTCCCCTCCTTCTCAGGCTCCACCTTCTGGGACTGGCCATCCTCGGGCACTCCTGCCTGGCCGCGCTTGGGGGGACGAGACCCAGATGCAGCATGGTGGTGTCCATCCTTCCTGGGTCACCTGGGCTTGGGCCGACACCTCTTGGAACTCCTGAATGAATCAGGCACTGATGCGACACTCAGCCTTCTCCGGGTCACCCGGAGCAGGGGCACGGGGTACGGGGGCGTCCACCCAGATCACCTGGGGACTGACAGGGCCTGAGAGCTGCTCTCCCAGGACCCTGAGCCCGGGTGGGCCCGTGGCCGACCCTGAAACAGTCCTTACGGCTTTGGGGGATGGAGAATGATCCCACCGGGGGCCCCAGCACAGACCCGGGTGCCCACCTGCTCTGCATGGCCCTATGGGCGGAAGTCGTGGTAGCCAAAGCCAGCGGGCGGGACTTTGAGGTCGTACCCGCCGGTCACTTTCCGGCGGCGCTGGACAAGGAGCACAGCCAGCCCAGTCACCGTGACCAGGGCAGCCACCGTGGCCAGGACCAGGGAGCTGGCCCCCAGGCCAGGCCACACGGCTGGAGCATCTCCTGGGGAGAGAAGGCAGATGCCAGAGGGGGCATGGCCATCCCTGCCCTGAGCCCCCCAACACCCACCCCCCGAGCTTCCCGGAAGGGTGCAGGCCAGAGTGGACACAAGACCAGCTTCAGGTATGCCCAGGGGCTCCTGCTCCTCTCTGCCCTGCACGCGCCGGGTTCCAAAGGCCGCCGTTCCTGCTGCAAAGGACTCAGGGCTGTGGGCGACGGCCAGGGGCAGGCCAGGTGAGGGCCCCTGACCTGACCCCAACCCTGACCTGCCCCAGACCCTGACCCTGACCTGACCCTGACCTGACCCCAACCCTGATCGTGACCTGACCGTAACTCTGACAGTGACCCTGACCTGATCCCGACCCTGATGCTGACGCCGACCCTGACCCTGACTGTGACCCTGACCTCATCCCAACCCTGACCCAATCTTACCCCGACCCTGATGCTAAACCTAATGCCGACCCTGACCCCAAACTGGACCCCAACCTAGACCCCAACCCGGACCCGGACCCTGACCTGGCCCCAATCCTGACCCTGATTTTGACGTTAACCCGGACACTGACCCTGACACTGATCCTTACCATGACCCTGGCCCTAAACTTCATCCTGACCCTGACCCTGACCCTGGCGCTGGCCCTAATCCTCATCCTGATGCTGACCCTGGCCTTGGCCCCGGCGCTGACCACTGTGTCCCCATGCCCTCTGCTGGGCCACCAAGTGCTCCCACCTCAGAGCACAGCCACCACCATGACTCTCTCCGAGGTGCGGCTGCTGGGAGCACAGACCCCGGGAGGGAGGGGTCAGCCAGCCCCACCCAGGCGAGCAGCCTTGGCCACTCACAGGGCGTCCCTCCCACAGGCTCACTAGATACTCAAGCCACCTTGAAGGCATGTGGGGATCAGATGGGTGTGAGTGAGGGGCTGGGGAGACAAAGAGGAAGGAGGGAGGGAGGGGGAGGGAGGGACTGGAGGGGAGGGGAGGAGGAGGGAGATGGCGCAAAGAGGAAGGAGGGAGGGAAGGAGAGACGGAGGGGAGGGAGAGGGGGAGGAGAAAGGGAGGGGTGGGAGAGGGGGAGGGGGAGGGGCAAGAGGAAGAGGAGGAAAAGGCAGGCAGTGAGCCTCACTGCTGGGCTCTTCCGGGAGCACCCCACATCCTGGTGTCCACTTGCCTTTCGAGCACGTGGAGATGTTACTGGGCATCACTCCTCATGGTGCCCGAGACCGGCCACCACTCACCTTCCGCCCGAACGAGGGGCCCCCAGGATGCCTGGTGGGTGGCAATGCCGTCCCCAGTCCTCAGTGTTCGGACATTGCTGCAGTCCTGGGTGGGTCCGGATAGAGCCCCCCATTAGCTGGGGGGACAGTGGGGACTGGCAGGGGGTGCCCTGGGGTTGGGTGTGGGGGCGTGACCCGATGCCCATCGGGTGGCCTCACCCTGCTCCCACACCCAGCTCCTCAGCACAGTGGGGCCACTCACTTTCCAGGGACCCTGACTTGCTAAAGGACAGGAGATGACATTGATACACACATGTCACACACAACATATACACACTCACATATACACACATGGTCACACAACATACATACACTCATACATGCCACACACCATCACACACAATATACATGCACACACATATACAGTCATATGTGACATACATGCACACTCACACATGATCACACATGCACGCACACTCAAAAAACACACGTGATCACACAACATACATGCATACTCACATATACACACAGACATACACAACATACATGCACACAGTCACACATGACATACATATGCACTCATATGAATCACACACAACATACATGCACAATTACACATAACACACAGACATAATCACATATATACATACTACATGCATACACCCACATGTGTAATTGCATAATACACACTACATGCATACATGCTCACATATACATGCCACACACATGCATACTCACCTACTTGCATATACACACCCCATGCACTTGCACAAATATATGCACACACACGTGCACACCACAAACATGCCACAATATGTGTTCACATACTACACTGTATCCATGCATACACACACACGCCAATCCCTCACATCCACCCCTCAAATGTATGCACACGTACACCCCACGCTTGCACACTCACACACGCACATACACCCACACGCACGGCATGCACGCCCTCACAGGCACACACGCTCACACACACTCCCGGACAGACACACACCAAGGGTGGGTGGAGTCAGGCTGCGTCCTTCTGCCTGTTTGGGGACGTGACCCCAGCGCTGAGCCCGGGGGCCAGCAGGAAGGGGGTTGTGAGAGGCGCCCCGGGAGTCCGGACAGAGCCCGGCCACCAGCTGGGAAGGCCCCCACTGGCCTCTTTGGGCAACCCTGGTTCTCCAGGCGGGCGCCCACCACCCGGAGGGGAACCCCCACCCACAGGCACCCACCACCCGGCAGGGCGCCCCAGGCGCGTCCAGGCAGACGCGCAAGCGGCAGTGCAGGTAGACGAGCGGGTTGTTGACGAAGGAGAAGATCCTGAGGCGGAACCCGGCCTTGTCCGAGCCGCCGTTCTCCAGCAGGTCCGTGTGCGCGTCGGGGACCGGGCAGCTGCGGGGGGCCTGGGTGGTGAGCAGGGGAGCGCCTGCCCGGCGCGCCCCCGCACCCCGCGGTCTCCCCGTTTCCCTCCTCCCACCTGTTGTTGATGAAGCGGAAGGTGCGGGGGTCGCGGGCGTCGTGGCCGGGCGTGGCCCAGCACTCCAGCAGCACCACGCGGAGCCGGGCCTGCCGCGGCCGCAGCCCCACCTGCACGCGCACGTGCGCGCGCGCCGACACGCTGTGGTTGGGCAGCAGCGGGGAGTCGCCCGCGAACACCTGCATCTCCGTGACGAACCGGCCCGTGCCGTGCAGGTCCCCGGCCCCCGGGAGCTCCCTGCAGGAGGGGGGTGTGGGTGTGCTTGGGGCGCCCTGCCCCCCCGCCCCGGGCACCACCCCCTCCCCCCTCCCCCCTGCCGCAGGACAGCCTGGCTGCAAGGTCCTGGCAGCGGCCGCCGGCCGTGGGGGTTCAGGTCTGCCCAACAGAGGGGCTGGGGGCACAGACTGGCTGCAGGCAGCTCAGGTGGGCCGCGGGGCCCCTCCCCGGGACCCCCGAGAGTCTGCACGGGAAAAGAGGTGCACAGCGGCCGCTCACCCCCACTGAGGGGTGTAGCTGGAAGACACCAGGAGATGATTCCGGAAGGCGCAGTGCACGGGACTCAGGATGCGCAGGTGGTGCATGACGCCGCCCGCCGACGGGCCGCTCCTCAGTGTGGTCCTCACCTCCGTGCTGCTCAGGTTCTGGCGCAGTCGGGAACGTGAGCTGGACCCCCCAAGCACAGACCCCCCTAGTGCTGCAGGCTGGCTGGTTCACTCATGGGGGCGTGCTGGCTTGCAAGGCGAGGTGGTACGTGTCTGGGGGTCCCGCACTGGCACCACCCAACCCCACTAACACCTCTGAGTTCCTCCGGTCCCTCTTGCTAGCCTCAGTCCTGGGGTAGTATCCCACCCCTGGCCACTCTGACTATCCCTGCCCCAGGCCCTTTGCACCTACATCCTTGCTGGTAGAGCCTGTGGCTCCCTGCAACACCCCCACCCCGTCCCCCTACAATCAAGTCTCTTCTGATCCTTGGGGCCCCGCAGGCCCTGGAGGACCCGGCCTTACGCTCTGCACCACTGTCCCGCACTGGCCCCAGCCGGCCACCAGGAGCACGTGTGTGCTGTTGGTCTGCGTCACGCCGCAGGCCGGCTGCCCCAGGTACAGCGAGGACTCAGGGACGGCCTCCTGGCGCAGGAAACGCCTCTGGATGGCGACCCCGACCCTCTGGATCTCACAGAGGATGGACACGGCCGCCGCCAGGCTCAGCCGTGGGGCAGCCCCGGATGCTCCTCCCACAGTGCTCATCAGGGACTCCGAGGGCCCAGCTGTGTGGGCAGGGGGGTCACCTGCAAGGCGGGAGGAGGCAGGAGCTCAGGGGGGGGTGTGCCCTGACTCCTGCAGCTGCTGAGGGGTTCCACAGCCCCCCACGATCTCCCGCTCCTCTGGGGCTGTGCCCTCCCCTGACGCTCAGACCCTGCGGGCAGCTGCCCCCGCCCAGGGGAGAGGGGTGGGCCAGGGCCTGGTGTGAGGGCTCAGCCCGTCCCTGTGTGAGGGTCTGCCCGTCCCGCCCTCGGGTGAGGTTCAGCCCATCCCTGTGTGGGGCTCAGCCCGTCCCCGTCCCCTGGTGAGGCTCAGCGTCATTCCTGGCCTTCCCCGGCCGTCAAGAGGCAGAGCCAGGTCACAGAGCCCCATGGACCCCCGGAGCCTGTCCCCGTGCCACCGCTGGGGTCTCGCGGTGGCGCCACCGCCACACTCTGCCCCCTGCTGCCTTTATCGTCAGCTGGAAGGTGCCTCTTTCAGGAAGTTCTCCCTGATTGCACAGGTTGTGACCGTCTGTGTCCCCGAGCCTCCTGCCTCTGCCCTTCTCTACCTATGACTGTGTCGGGGGCAGATATGGGTCCCGGCCGTGGCTACTTTCCCTGATGGCAGAGGCCCCTTCGGCTCCAGCCAGCTGCATGAGCCCCCAGGTCAGAGAAGGGCTGGGTGAGGAGAGCCAGGGCTCTGCAGATGCGTGGAGCCGAGGGCGCCGAACACACGTGTGTGACACAATACGTGTGCCACCGCTTTACACACATAAGCCAAGTGCACATGTGTGCATGTGTGCATGCTTGTATTTGTACATGTGTGTGCATGTGGTATGCATGTGCACATGTGTGTGCATGTGTGTGTGCTTGTGTGTACCTGTATGTGTGCATGCCTTTGTGTGTGCATGTGTATGCTTGTGTATCTGTGTGTATGCATATTTATGCATTGTGTACGCATGTGTGCACATGCATGTGTGTATGTGTGTGCATGTGTGCATATGTGTGTGCACGTGTGTGTGCACGCACATGACACATGGGTCAGGAACGTGCCCAGGACATGGACATTATGGGGTTTTTCCAGGGGAAGGCTCTGGGGAGGGACCCCGGGACGTGTCGTGTGTGCTGACAGCTGTCGGGGGCACAGATGTGGGGCTGTCTGTTACCTTCACAGGGCCTTCCAGAATATTCCACGGGGCTCTCAGCTCCACCAGCACAGTCGCAGGTGAAGGAGCCCAGGGTGTTGTGGCAGACGGAGCCGGGCCTGCAGTCATGGTCCCCATGCACACACTCGTCGTGATCTGCACAGAGGGGTCACAGAGGCAAGGGCATGTCAGGGGTGTGTGTGTGTGTGTGTGTGTGTGTGTGTGTGTGTCCATATGTGTGTCTTTACGTGTGTGCATGTTTATGAGTGTGTCTGAGTGCATGTGTGTGTCGGTGTCTGTCTGTATGTGTGTGTCTGTGTCCATGTGTGTCTGCAAGCAGCTGCCGGAGGCATGGCTGGGGACAGTGCTGAGGGGCGGCTTGAGGTGGTCGAGCGGTCCCCGGGCGCTGCGGGGAATCTGGGCACTGTCCTGCTGCGGCTGCAGGTGGGGTGGACGGTCTCACCAGGGCCCCGAGGGACAGCACAGCAGAGAGGGGAGGGCAGCTCCCTTGGGCACCGGTGACCTGGGGTCAGTCCCCGCAAGAGAGACCACTGAGCACTGCAGATGGCAGCCCCCTAGACATGGAGCCACCCAGGCTGGTATCTGGGGCTGCAGGACGAGGTCCTGCCCTGGGCCCAAGTGTCCGGGCGTCCTCCTGAGGGCTGGTGCCCGCCCCATGCTGCCGAGCATTCCAGCCTCCTTGGGACACACACGGCAGCGGGCAGTTGGTCATTCCCTGCTCCCCTGTCCAGCCGCACTGAGGCCGTGTCCAAGACCTTCAGGGGAGGCCCAGAACAATCCTCCCCAGGCCAAAAGCATTGTTTTTTTGGGGGAGGGGGGCTCAAGAATGACTCCTGACTCTGTGCTCAGGGATCACTCCCAGCAGGACTTGGGGGACCCTGTGGGGTGCCGGGGATCAAGCCTGGGTCAGCAGCACGCAGGGCACTTGCATTGGCCCCTGTCGCGTCTCTCTGGTCCAGGATCATCTTTTTTGGGGTTTTGGCTTGAATCACACCCAGTGGAGCTCAGGGCTCGCTCCTGGTCCTGCTCTTAGGGGTCACTCTGAAAGGGCTCGGGGGACCAGGTGGGGTGTCGGGGATTGGACCTGGTTTGGCCACAGGCAAAGCAAGGGTCCTCCCCGCTGTCCTGTCACTCTGGCCCCAGGACAGAGTTTTTTTTAAATCTCCCGCCCCTCTTGGTAAGTGGAGGCAGCTGCCCCTGCGGCCCCGCCTCCTCTGCGTCTCTTCCTCATTCACAAGTGCCCCAGCGCAGGCCCTGTTGGAGGCTCAGCCCACGGAGCCCACCCAGACAGGGCACACTCGGCCCTGAGGGCACAGGCTCCGGGCAGGGGTATCTGCGGGCCCACCAGGCTGCTGCCGACAGCGCATGGACAGGTCAGTGCTGCCCTGGGCTCCCGGCATGTGTTTAGCAGCCTAATCGGAGCCACCAACATGATGCCAGCGGGCAGAGCACAGGGCCAGGGATGGTCCCCTTCAAGAGTGCTCGGTGGGTCTGAAGTCCCTCCTGCGACTTCCTGGTCTACCGGGTGGGGTGGGGGCAGGCTTGATGGGGCTTAGGGTACATGGGGGGCCTGGGAGACTATGCGGGCGTCAGCATGTGCACCCTGGCTCTGCGCCAGCCCCTGCCTCTCTATCCAGCTCCCTGTCCCTGCCCCCAGAGACCATGGCAAGACCTTGCAGGCCCCCCACAAGCGACCCCTACCCCGATGAAGGTGTCTGCCCGGCCACCTCCAGGCCCTCACAAGTGACCCCTACCCCCGATGAAGGTGTCCGCTCCGGCCACCTCCAGCAGCGAGAGGCCACGGAAGGCGGCAAGGAAGGCGGCCGACACCTCGCGGACGTCCAGGTGGGCGAGGACCAGCAGGAGAAAGTCCACCACGACGCTGCCCCCGGAGAGGCCGCTCACCCGCAGCAGCACCCGGCCCGCGTCCATGTGGCCCTGCATGGCAGCCGGCAGGGCCTCGCGCACCTGTGGGGTGACACGGGAAGGGCCACACCCGGTCACCTGCGGTCAACGCAGCCCGGGCCTGCCAAGAAGGTTCCCACCTCTGGGGTCTGTCAACAGGCACTCTCCCTGCATGGGACCCGCGGCTCCCAGGTCAGTCTCCTGCATGGGGTGGGCTCGCGGGACCCTCACTCAGTATTCTCTAGAACATTCCCTCCCTGTTCTCCTCCCATTCTTCCTCCTGCTTCCCGCCAGCCCGCAACAGGCTTTGAATGCAAGTGCACACACAGACACACGTAAACACATATACATACACACGCATACATACACATACAAGCACACATGCACACATACATACACACATGTATACATACATACACACATACATACACATACATACATACAAACACACACGCACACACATACACACATAAACACATGCACACACATACACAATACACACACAGACATACACATGCATACACATAGATACACATACACATATACACATACAGACACACATACACACAGATATACACACACCACACATACACTCACATACAAACATAAACACACATGTATTCACACACATACACACAAATATACATACACACAAATATACACACTTAAACACACTCATACACACACAAGTCACATACACTACCCATATACTCAGACACATACTCATGTATGTGCACTTGCACTTACATACACACATACACACTCACACACTCTCACATACACACACACTCACACAGTACACATGGGCACGGGCCGTGTGCTGAGACAAGGCTGGGCATGTTGGGCAGTGTCCACCTCCAGCCCAACTGACTCTGTTTCACCAGCAGACGCTGAGCCACCAGAGGGCCGCGCCCCTGCCAGGCCTGGGCCAGAGCCACAGACAGAGAAGCTGCTGCAGGCACCAGTAGCAGGGGTTGGGGGCCTGGGCGGGGGTCGCTATCAGGAGCTAGGGGGCAGGGGTGCAGTGTGCGGTTCCAAGGCGCTACCACACCTCGCCACCAGGTGGCGCTCCTGCCACCCACCTTTTGCCCTGCCCTGCCCTGTCCCCACTGTGCAGTCCCATCCCGCCCTCCTGCCCGCCCCACCTTGTTCTTCCCCAAACAGCAGAGTGAGAAAGGCTCCTGGCGAGGTGGATTCCCACCCCAGGTCTATCGTACTTCTGCTGCCCCCCACCCCAGCCCACTGGCCCTGCCAAGGGAACGGTGCTCCCGTTCCCCCACGGACCCCACGGGGCCAACTCCAGCCAGGGGTCTGGCCATGGACTATGGCCCATCAGAGCGCCCAGATTCGGGACAGAAACAATGGCAGTGACCCAGAGAGGGCTCCCCGGGATGGAGAGAATGTTCCGGAATCAGCCGGTTGGTGCTGATGAATGCTCACTGTAGTTGAGGGTGTCCCCAAGTGTGGGTCACCACACTTTCTTGTTGGTGCTCCCTAGTGGTGCTCAGGGTACAGGACTGTGGGGAGGGGGGGTCCTGCTGGGCTGGCTCGGCCAGGTGAGGCCCCAGGGCGTGTGCTGGGGGTTTCTGGCCCACCCCACAGTGCTCGGGAGCTCAGGATCCAGCCCGGGGCCACACGTCCAGCCAGGCCTTATCCTGGGGCAGGCCCAGGCGTGGGCGGACCTGGGCCATGAAGGTCTAGCCAGGCCCCCCATAAGCCCCACTGCTGTCCACACACCCTGCATAGCTAGCGGTGGTTTCGGGCCCCGGCTGAGGGTGTGGGAGCCCCGCGGCTCCCACACGTGTGGGTGGACCTGGCACTCAGGCCTGCGGGGAAGGGTTGCAAGGATGCAGGAACCCTGTGCCCCAGAACCAGGCCCCCCTGGCGCCCCCAGAACCAGGTACCCCCAGTGCCCCCAGAGCCAGGGCCCCCTGGAGCCCCCAGAACCAGGCCCCCCTGGCACCCCAGAACCAGGTACCCCCAGTGCCCCCAGAGTCAGGGCCCCCTGGAGCCCCCAGAACCAGGCCCCCCTGGCGCCCCCAGAACCAGGTACCCCCAGTGCCCGCAGAGTCAGGGCCCCCTGGAGCCCCCAGAACCAGGCCCCCCTGGCGCCCCCAGAACCAGGGCCCCCTGGCGCCCCCAGAACCAGGTACCCCCAGTGCCCCCAGAGTCAGGGCCCCCTGGAGCCCCCAGAACCTGGCCCCCTTGGCGCCCCCGGAACCAGGTACCCCCAGTGCCTCCAGAGCCAGGGCCCCCTGGAGCCCCCAGAACCAGGGCCCCCTGGCGCCCCAGGAACCAGGCCCCCTGGCCTACCGTGCCCAGGAAAAGCTGCAGGAAGGCCCGGTGCTCCCCGCTGCTCGCATTGCTGAGGGCCTCCGAGAACTGGACGTTGGCCACTCGGACCCGGCCCCGGAGTGTGCGGGCAGCTGCAGGGAGAGAGCAGGGAGGGCCGGGCTGTGCGTCTAGGCTCACACACATGTGCAGCCCGCCAACTCCAGAGGGCGTGGGACAGAGCCCAGGTCTAGGACAGAAGCTTCCAGATGATGCTCCATGTATCCTGTGTGGGTGTGCAGGGACTACGCACGTGGCTCGCCGGCAGGATGGTTGGAAAGCACGTGGGCAGTCGCGGGGGCAGGCCTGGCCACCCTAGGGAGCAGCCCCTCCCACCCACCCCCCAGGTCCTGCAGGGCTGTTTGGACACACTTGACTGCGCTCAGGGGTCACTATTGAGGAGTCAGGGATCACCTGTGGTGCTGAGGGCCAAACCCAGTCAACCAAGTGCCCACCCCTGTGCTGTCCACCCAGCCCTCAGGCCTCCCAGATGACCCTACCTGTCCCCCAGGTGGCTGTACCTGCCCCCCAGGTGGCCGTACCTGTCCCCCAGGTGGCCGTACCTGTCCCCCAGGTGACCCTACCTGTCCCCCAGGTGACCCTGTCTCCCAGGTGACCATACCTTCCCCCAGGAAACCTGTCCCCTCCAGGTGATGGTAATGGTACCTGTCCGGACTCTCATGTGCACTCTGGAACTTTCTACTCCGCACGCCTTGGCCAGGATCTCCAGCAGGTACAGGGCGCCAGGCTCCAGGCCCGCCAGCATGACCTTGGTGTTGGGGGTCTCCAGGTGTTCACGGTCCCCCCAGGGGGAAGTCAGGGTGATCTGGAAAGTGGGGCGCGGGGCCAGATCTGCCTCCCAGGCCACGTGGAAGCCGGTGCCGGTCACATTGGAGATGGTGATGGTCCCGAGAGCACTGGGCACTGGGCGACAGTGAGCAGCCAGGGCCAGGCGTGAGAGACCCGTCCCAGGGAGGGGACGGCTGCTGGAGCCCAGGTCTGGGGACAGCACAGCCACAGAGCCTGGGTGGCCAGCCCTGCCAGCCCCACCAGCCCCGGCACCAGGACCCCTGTCCCGCTCACCACAGGCTGGGGGCCCCTGAGACTGCAGGGGGCGTGTCGGGGGCGGCTCTGAGGGGCTTGAAGGTCCAAGGTCCAAGTTCTGTGGCTTCGGGGGCTCCAGAGGTGCCGCTGGTGGGACCCACGTGGGCCGGCTGGGCTGCCATGTCTCGTGGCCCGTGGGCCCCTGGGTGGGGCTGGGCTGAAGGGTGGGTGTGGCAGTGGCGTTGGGGGTCGGCCAGTGTGGGGCCCCCTGCTGGCCACCAGTGACCCCGGGCAGAGTGCAGGAGGCTGTGCTGAGCTCCTGGTCACCTGTGGCCTGGCCAGTCCCCATGCCCACGGCCCCGCTGGACACCTCCACCTCCTGGTCTGTGCTGGCCCCAGGCAGAGGCCCTAAGGTCCGGGACAGGCCTGATGCAGGGATGCCCCGAGGGGGGCTGGGGCTGGGCGCCGAGACGGGGGTCTCTGGGCCAGGTGCTGTGTGTGTGCTGACAGCTGGGGTCACCAGGCGGGTCCCGGGGGTCTGCGCAGCTTCACTGGGGCTGACTGTGCTTCCTGCAGAGAGACCCCTCAGGCAGGCCTGGGCTGACAGGAGACCCCCGTTTCCTCCCTGCAGTGCTTGGGGCTGACTCCTGGCTCTGTGCTCAGGGATTCTGTGTGGTGCCAGGGATCCAACCCCAGGTGGCCATGTGTAGGACCAGTTCCTCAACCTCGCTGTTGGGTGGGCCCTGAGGTGACCTCAGGAGGGAGTGATGCCAGGAGGGAGGTGACCGTCAGAGAGAGGTGACCCCAGGGAAGGACTGACCCAGGAGGGAGTGACCCCGGAGGGCGGGGGCTCTGGGAAGCCCGGGGCCTTGCCACCCCTCCCCCCCAAGTCCTGGTGAGCCCTCATGCTCTGCTTCCTCATCCCCCCGACTGAGACCCATGGGGACGAGACCGAGGGGTGGGGGCTCATGAGGGGCAGGGGCTGGAGGTGTCTGGGGCACTGGGCGACCAGTTGAAGGTGACCGTGGGCCCCAGGGGCTGGCTCACCGGTGCGGACGGTGAGTGCGGTCGTGCCGTTGGCCCCGCAGTCTGGGCAGCTGATCTTCACCCCATACATCACCCCGGCCTCCAGCCCGGCCACCTCCAGGGCCATCCCCCTGGGCTGGGCCGTTCTGAGCAGGCGAGGCCCCTGGAACAGCTGGACACAGGCCGGGCGGGGGCGGGCAGAGCCCCAGCCCCAGGACAGGTGGAAGCTGGTGTGGGTGATGTTGCTGATGAGGGCGTCAGAGATGGGAGGGCAGTCTGGGGATGGGGGACAAGTCAGGGGGGTGGGACGGCTCAGTGGGGTGCGCTGGGTAGCCGGGAAGAGGGTTAGACCCCATGGTGCGCCTGTGTTCTACCCCCATACGGCCCCCTGAGCACCAGCAAGTATGGCCCCCAAACTAAAAATTAATAGTAATAGCTAAAAACTACTTTGGACAAACTGGCAGGCTACCGAATGTAGCCTGCCCTCACGGCAGAGTCTGGCAAACTCCCCATGGCGTACCCAATATGCCAAATACCAGTAACAATGATGGGTCTCATTCTCCTAACTCTGAAAGAGCCTTGAATGTGGCAGTTTTTAAAAAATCTCAGGGCTAGGATGAAGGAGACGTTACTGGGGCCTGCTCGAGGCAATCGACGAATAACAGGATGGTCGTGATCGTGATCGTGAACTAAAAAATAAATCCTAATACAACCAGACTGACAGCCACCAGGTTTAACGCCAGCCGGCCACGGCGCTTGGGCAGGGACGCCACCTCCTGGCTGCGCGGGGAAGTGCACCTGGCATGAGCAGATCCCAGCCCATGGGCAGATGGGTGCCTCAGGGACTGCCTCCACTCGGGGTCCCAGCACCCCGGGATGGGCAGGGCCTCAGCTGTCCTGCCCCGATGACTGAGAGCCCCCAGGCTGGCCTCCAGCCGTGACCACTGCCTGGCAGGCCTGGGGGGCGGGGCGGGGGGGCAATTGGACGCCTGGAGAGGGAAAGTAGAGGGATGGGGGGCAGGCCTGGGGGACCGGGGCTGGCCCAGGCCAGGAGCCAGGCTGGACACAAGGAAGGACATGGACGTGTGTCCACACCTACCATGGGGAAGCCATGCATGGTGCGAATGGACGACGCTGATCACCAGCGTGACCCTAGAATCTGAGTGGGGGCCCCAGTCCTGGCCTGCCCCGCCCCGTCCTCCTCTGAGATCTGTGCTCATGTCCTGGGGGGCTGCCAGGCCATCCCAGCTCCTGCTCCTGGGGTCTGGATGCTGGTGAGCCCAAGCCCATCCCCCTCCACCAGCCACTGGCATGAGACCCCCATTTATCTCCTCTCTGCCTGGTGCTCGGTGAGCCCCAAAGGCCCTGTCCACAGGGCTGGACTCACCCCTGGGCCTTGGGTCCCTACCTCTTGGCTGCCCAGCTAAGCCACTCCCTGGGCTGTGACACCCCTGAGGGTCTCCCTCCCCCCCCCCCCCCCCCACACACCAGCTCCCAGACTGACCCACGTGCCCAGGGACGGGTCATTCCCACTGTCCCTGCAGGGGGCACTAGTGGGTTCTGGCATCTCCCTCTCACTGCTGGGACCCCCAGTGACCGCACCGCCCAACCTAGGGTGCAGGACGCAGGGGACAGCAGATGGCCCCGGCCCCTGCCCCCACAGGCCCCTACCTGGCCCGGGGCTGCCCAGCGGCTGGCAGTGATGGGACCCCTCCGTGTTCACACACAGCTGTCCCACCGTGCAGGTGCAAAGCTCCTTGTGCAAACATTCGTCCACGTCTGTGGGAGAAGGAGCGGGCAGAGCTTACTGCCAGGCCCCTCTTCATCCCAAGAGACAGGGCACGGGTGCGGGGCCGAGGGCAGCCATGGGAGGGACGCTGGCCCCGGCCCCTGGAGGCAGACCGGATGCTCGGAGCTGACCCGGGCACCAACTGGCCACACAGCGGCTCAGCCAGGACGAACAGCGCCCCCTGGCACCCTGAGCTTGGGTCCTGCAGGATGTCCGGTTCTTTCTTTGTTTCTGAGCCATACCCAGCGATGCTCAGGGCTGACTCCTGGCTCGATGCTCAGGGTTCACTCCTGACAGTGTTTGGGAGACCATGTGGGGTGCTGGGGACAGAGCCTGGGGGTTGCAAGGCCAGCGCCACCCCCTCCCCCCCTCCCCCAACGTGCTGTCGCTCCAGCCCAGGGATGACCAGTTCTTGACCTAAGATCCCAGAAACCGTCCCGCCTCTCGGGTAGATGCCAGGGACCACCCCAGTCACCAAGCCCCTCCCCAGACCCTCTCCCAGTGCCCACTGAGCGCGCGTCCCAGGGTGTCCCCTCCACCCTGTGACTTTCCACATGCCCGACCTTCCACATCCCCCAGACACCTCCCGCGTCAGTGGTGTGGTTCTCAGGGGGGCTGGACCCTCCCCAGCCCTGGGGACCTGCGCTAAGCTCTGGAAGCCAGCGTCTACCCGCTGCCCCCTGCCGGCACTGCCCAGCCCAGCCCAGCGGGGGCCCACCTTGCACCCCGACGCGGATCACTTCGTATGCCCGCTTCACAATGGCATCCAGCGCGGTGGAGACGGCGGCCAGGGGCAGCGGGTGGCTGAGGCCCAGCAGCAGCTGCGAGGTCGTGGTCGCAGGGTCCCCAGCGGCCGAGTGCAGGGGGTGCACCGTGCAGTTCAGGGGGCGCAGGGCGCTGCTGACCTGGGGGCCGGCAGACTGTCAGGAGAACTCCCGGAGCAGGGGGACCCGGCGCCCACAGAGACGGGACACGCTGCCCTGCTGCCCAGGAAGGCAAGGGGAGATGGAGCAGCCCAGGGGAGTGTCAGGGAGTAGGGGGGATGGCGTGGGGGGGCTCCCTGGACACCTGAGTGTGGGGTTGGGGCCCTCCCAGGGGAAGGGGCCGTGGGCCGTGTCTGTGCTCCCAGTGGACTGCAAATCTCTGGAGACGGCAGCCCCACCCCCGGCCAGCTCTGAGCCGCGGTGGACAGCACCGCAGACCCAGCAGAAGCTGGGTGGGTGGGCAGGTCTGCAGCCTGGCTCCCCCACACGCTGACCCGTGAAAGGGCTGTCCACACATGCCCAGACAGGAAGCCGCTTGCTGTGGGAGCCGGCCGCCCCCAACCATGGCGAGCCGGAGCCCACCTACCGTGGCATGGCCAGGCCCCCTACCATGGCGTGTAGCAGCCTCGCATGGCTGCGGAGCTGAGGGTCCACCTGCTGCAGCTCGGCGAAGCTCATCTTCACCAGGAAGGTCACGTTGTACCAGGATGTGCCCGGGGCCTCCTGCATAGCTGCCCAAAGCATGGCCACTGAGGGAGGGGGCAGGAGCCGTGGGGGGCCTCCAGCCCGGCTCTCAGTCCTCAGATAATGTCCAGCCCCTCACTCTGAGGGAGGCTCTGGACCCCACCCTCCTCTGCACACTAGGTCCGACACCCCTGCATCTAGTGGGCTCCCAGGACATACTCCCTACCTGGAGGCTTGGGGGCCACACAGCCTGGGCCACCAGGCAAGGGGCAGCACTTCCAAAGCCCAGGACAGTCCATGTCCAGGCTGCAGGACAGGGCGGCCTCACCGCGCCCCACCATGGGACAGACCCCGGGTCTCGAGGCGAACTCCAGGGAGCGGTTCAGAGCTGGAGCAGAGAGGGGGCCGAGGGGGCCGAGGGGGCCAGGGAGGGGTGGGAAGGGGGCAGTGAGGGCCGAGGAGGGAGTCAGGAGGGGGTGGGGAGGGGTGAGGAAGTGTGGGAGTGGGGAGGGGAAATGCGGGAGGGGTAGAACAGGCAGGGGTGGGGAGGGGCGGCCGTCACTGGTTTTGAAAGCAGAACTGCATGTGTGCTGGCTCCCTCAGCCGGGGACCCCTTTCTGACCTGGGGGTGCTGATGGGTCCACAGTTTAACAGCCACTCCCAGCCGGACATCAAGAGGCCAGTTGCCTTCACCATCACGTGGCCTGACCACTATGGGCCCAACCCCCTGGCTGAGGACAGTCCTACTGGACCCAGAGTGTCCCCTTCCCTGGGCCTGTGGAGCCCAGGCGGGCACACCCCTCACTGTCCTGAGCACTGTTGGGCCTGGGGCGTGGGAGAGCAGCGTGTGCATGGCCGGGTGCGTGGGTAGATCATGCTGTGGCCACAGGCCTGAGTGGACACAGGGGTCCCTGGAGTGTCCGCAGGACAGCGCATCCCAGAGGAGGCTGAGCTCGGGCCCCAGGCATGGCGGGGGAGGGACTGCCAAGGAGAAGCTTCCAGGAGGTTCCAGGGCATCTGGTCTGGCATTCCCAGCCCCTGGTGAGCCATGGGAGTGTGGGAGAGGTGGGCAGGGGCACCCTCGTCCCGGGACAGGGAGGCCTCAGGACAACAGCTGGGCAGGACAGTGACCTGTGACCCCAGAAAGGCTTTCTGGGAGCCGGGATGCTTGGGGGTGGGAGGCAAGAACAGAGCAGGTTTCTAGAATTGCAAGGTGGGGGTCTCTAAGGTCACAGGGTGGGGTCTCTAGGGTCACGGGGTGGGGAGTTCTCATGACACTTCCAGGCCCCGGAGTCCCCCCAAAGGCAGGCCGGGGCACCCTCAGATCTGCCCTAGGCCCCAGGAACAGTCTCAGTGGAGAGCTGCCACTGCAGAAAGATCTGGAAGCTCAGGTAGGAGAGGGTCCAGCATGCCGCTCCAGGGACCATGGGGTACCTGCCCACCCCCTGTCCGCTCACGCAGGACACAGGGCAGCCGGGAGCCGAGGGGGTGCCCAGCCCCCCCCGCCCACTCACGCAGGACGCAGTACAGGCCGAGCTGCTCGAAGCCCTCGCAGCAGCCGGTCACGTGCCTGGCCTCGGGGATGCCCACAGCCCGGTACTGGGTGCTGTAGACAGTCTTGGGGCAGCGCCTCCAGGGGATCCAGCCGCCGCAGGGGGTGAGGGTCAGGCGGGGTGTCCGCACAGCCTCCACCTGCGGCACGCGCCGGGTCTGGCTATAGTTGCAGAGTTGGAAGCCCAGCAGGGACAGGCCTGTCTCTGGCGGGGGAGAGTGGGCGAGAGCTGGAGGTCGCACGCCCGTGATGCACGTGTGTCCACATGCACACACGCGTGGCTCCTACACGTGTCCACACACAGAGGCATGAACATGCATGTTCATCTGTGTATGCTCCATGCTCACTAGGGCACACATGCCCGTACACATGTCTTTACACGTGTGCACATGCATGTGCGTGTTCCTACACACGTCTCAGGGCACAAGAGGAAGGAGCAGCGTCTGACCCCCCCACCCAAGACTCACGGATGGACACAGATGTTGGTCCCAGATGTCCCTGGGGGGCTGCCTGGAGGATGGACCTCGGAATCACCCCCCCACTGACCCCCTGGGCCCCTGGGGTCCACTCCATCATGTCCCCCCGCCCCAGCAGGCACCCAGTCTCCAGACTCCCGGGCCTCACGGTGGCGGGATTGGAAGTGAGGCCACAACACAGGGACCCGAAGAGATGAGGTCAGCTGGGGGTGGGGGGCAGTCCCAGAGGCCTGAGGCCTGATGGAGGAGAAACGGACTCAGATGCGCCCGCGGGGGCATACCAGTGGCCCCAGGGTGGCCACAGAGAGGGTGAAAGAGGATCGGGGTCCTCTGGACCCAGCCCTGACACCACTCCCCCTCCCGGCCTTCGGGCAGAGCCGCTTGCCCACAGGTCTGTGGGGGGAGCAGCACCAGTGGGTTTGGGAGTGACCCGCCCTGGCACGGCTCTGGCACCATCAGATGGTCACCTGGGCCCAGCTGCCGCAGAATGGGTGCCCAGGGTCTTTTCCCAGGCCCTCCTCTCCCAGGGCAGAGGGACGCCTAGGGCAGCCTCAGTGAGAGCATGCTGAGGGTCCCGCCCAGTGAGGCATAGGACAGCCAGGGCGCCCCACAGCTCTGCCCCTACAGCTGCCTCGGCCTCGCCCCCGGTCAGTCTCGAGAGATGCTAGGGGGGAAGGGGTCCCACCACCACCTGAGAGCCCGCATCCGAAGGCAGCACCCAGACCTGCGCCAGCAGCAGCATCCAGGGCCCCACCACAGCCCTGCGGGCCGGAACCCGCCTCGGAGCCCAGGGACCCCTCACCTGTGAAGCCACTGGCCCGGCTTGAGCCCAGGGCACAGAGCAGCAGGAGGAGCCCACAAGCCCCGAGCATGGTGGGTGCAGGCAGAGATGCGAAGTGGCCGGGAGCTGGCCTTGGGTCCCTTATAGGACCGGCCAGGGCGTCCCCTCCCCGGCGGACTCTCTCGGGGTGCCCCCTCGCTGCCCCTTCTCTCTCTGGCAGGAGGACCGGTGTCTTTGAGGGCACAGGGGTCCCCAGCGGCCCCTTCCCTAGCCCCATCTCAGGTGACATGCTCTCGGCTTCAGACCCCAATCTCATGCCCCACTGGGCAGCAGATCCTGTTCCCTTATCTCTGGGCACTTTCAGGTAGAGAGACCGACAAAGTGGCCCCCGGCCCCGTGGGGACAGGCCCATGAAAGGCCAGGCTGTGTCCGGGCCCGCCGCACTGGGACTGTCTCAGGACCTGCATGGGGGAAGCAGTGAGGGAGCCTTGGGGGGGGGCAGGGGGACCCCAGGACAGGCTCCCGGCCCTCCCTCCCCCAGCACTGCAGGGAGCTCCTAGCCCGGCCAGCCCTGCGGGTCCCCGGCTCATGTTTGGCCGTTGCACCTTTGGAAACCTAGTGTGGCCCTTTTTTGTTTGGCCGTTTTGGGGTGGGGGCTCCCCAGGGCCCAGGAGGCCCGGCGCACCCACCTCCCCCCCCAGTGACTTTCAGCTAGCCAGCAACCGCAGCTCAAAGCAACAGAGGATCAGATGCTGCAGGGTCCCCCGTAGGGCTGGGGTCGGGGCCGGGGCGGGGGGGGCACCCTAATCCCTCTGCCCTCTCCCGCCCCCCCCCCAGCACATTGATCCCCGTGGCCCCACATGAGGCGGCAGCAGCAGTCTAGGAAACTGGGGTTTAGGGTGGGGTCTCTGTCTCGGCCTGGCCAGGGCACGGGGCGGGGGGGAGGGGGAATGGAAGGGAGCCAGAGGCTGGGGGGTGGACAGGGGAGAGCAGGTGGATTTGATGTCCACTTTTCTGCGGCCGCGGGAAGGTGACCGTCCATCGCAGAACCAAGGCTTGGCTGCAGTGGCCTTGCTCGGCCGCACACCCTTGCGGGAGGCTCCTGGTTGTCCCCTGGTGGCACCTTCACACCAGGAAAACCATCTCAGCTGAGAACCCCCAAGGCGCCTGCTGGAGGCTGGCTGTTGTATCATGAATGGTCACTGCTAGGAGGCAGTGAGGCGTGAGCCAGGACCGTGATCCATTTAACCCTTCACAGGCCCTCAGCTTCGCTCCCCCTCTTCCCACCAGCCTGGGAAGCAGCTCTCTCGCTCTCAGTGTAGAGTCAGAAGGTCTTGGGCCCAGGGCTAGCACGGAGACACAGCACTACCCTTCTCTCTGCCCACCTGCTCAGGCTCCGACCTGAGTGCACCAGGCCCAGAGTCCCACAGTCAGGGCAGGACCTGGAGACAGGGCAGTCCCGGGAGAGTCGGACACTGGCCTGATACCTGCTCTCCTCTGCCACTCACCACGCGGGCTGTGGGACCAGGGTCAGGCCTCCTGCCCTGTGCCTCCCTCTCCCCCGCATTAAAGCAAGACGAGCAGTGCGGGAAGCCGAGGTCAGTGAGATCTTTAGTCAGACTCAGATTCACACACTCACACTCACTCACACTGACACACACTCACACACTCACCCTCACACATACTCACCCTCACTCACACATTCATCCTCACTCACATTCACACACTTACCCTCACTCACACTCACACTCACACACTCACACTCATACAACTCACCCTCACGTACTCACCCTCACTCACACTCACACATTCACTCCACACTTACACTTACTCACCCTCACACATGCACACTCACCCTCACACTCACAATCTCACAACTCACCCTCACTCACTCACACTCACACACTCACACTCACACATTCACACTCACCCTCACATACTCACCCTCACTCACACTCACATACTCACACACTCACCCTCACACTCACACACTCACTCCACACTTATACTTACTCACCCTCACACATACACACACTCACACTCTCACACACTCACCCTCACTTACATTCACATTCACACACACACCCATATACTCATACTCACATACATATTCACATACAATGTTCACACACTCACTGATTCACAGTGAGATCTTCACTCTCATACACAATCACACATTCAGTGACATCTTCACATACACATTGAGATCTACACACACACTCATACACACTGACACTCAGTGAGATCTATACTCACACACACCCTGACACACTCACAATGAGATCTATACTCACACTCACACACTCGTACTCACGCACTCAGTGAGATCTACACTCACACTCGTGGTCAGTGAGACATTCTCCAGTGTGTGCTCACGTGTGTTGTGTGTGCAAACACATCAGCTATTTCAGCTATTGCTCCCCTCTGCATACCTGCAAGCGCATTCTTTTGTGTGCACATGCATGTGCCCGCCATGGACATTCACAGACACACGAGTGTGCAGGGGCAGTACCCAGGGCTCCGTGGGCACACACCCATGTCCCAGCCTCCAGGGTCAGGCTCTGCTGTGAGCATGTCCAGGGGTGCAGGGCAGCCGGAGGGGTGGGGTCCTGTTCCCCGCTTCCCCCAGCATGGCTCGCCCTGGTCTCTCACACCCCTGCCTTCCAAGGGGAATTCTCCTCAGAGCTCCGTCCTGGGCCCCCTGGAGAGTGCCGGGTGCAGCCTGGCGGGCCCAGGACGGTGGCTGCGGGCGCCTAGGTACAGCCAGGAGCTCAGAGGGGTTCCTGGGTCTCTGTCTGCACCATGGGGCTCCCTAGGAGGAGGGAGCCCACCCTTTGCCCGGGGGTGGGGTTTAGGGGGGCCCAGGACTCAGGCTGCAGCAGCTCCTTCCCCAGAAGGCACCTGATGGGCCGGGAGAAGCCATCCCTAGGGAGACAGGGAGCAGAATTGTCTGTGCTGAAACAATCCTGATTTTAAGCCTTTAAATTGATCTCCTGCACCGACAACCCCCCAGGCTGTGACAGGGCACACTGGGCTGGGCTGCACCCCCTCAGGGTGATGAGTCAGAGGTCTCCTGGGGGCTGGAACGGGCTGCTCACAGTGGTGCCTGCTCTGGGGATGGCCCTGAGATGCTCCCACTTGAGTCCCCTCCCTGCTGAGTGACGCCTCTGCTCCTCCCACAGGCTGGACATGTGGGTCACATGCTGGAAGAGATGGTAGGAAAAAACGAGCATCGCAGGAAACCTTCAGGTGCCTCTGCTGCTCTGGGGTGGCCCCCAGCCCCAGCGTCTGCGGGGACGCTCACCTGGTGGTCTGGACCAACACAGGCCGCTCAGAGTCAGAGGCCTCTTTTGGGGGCGGGGCGGGCGTCCTATTTCTAGTCTGTTTCTAGTTTTTTGTTTGTTTGTTTTTGAAGACTAAGATACATCAGTGGCTGGGTAGTGCAGTGGTAAGGCACTGGAGCCAGCCTGGGTTGGAGCCGGGCGAGGAGTGAAACAGAATGCTTCTGGGCCGGGCCCCAAAACCAAACTGCAGGGATACATCACTGGAATTTATGAAGCAGAAACGCCTATCCTGTGACTCGCCTTCATCCTCCCCGCGTGTGGACTCTGACCGTTCCAGGGAGACATTCCCCATGCAGCCGTGATGCTAGAGAACCAGCCTCAGAAAGGTTCCCCCAAACTCAGCCTGACGGACACTCTGTGGGATGGTTTGGGGGCCACAATGGGCGGTGCTTGGGCTACTCTCAGCTCTGTGCTCCTGGGTGATCCCTGGCAGTGCTTGGGGGACCTCAGGGGGCTGGGGGGACTCCAGTCCTCCTGCACAGCCCACTGAGCCCCGTCTCTGCCCTCCCACCCCAAGGACAGACGTCACACCTGGACACAGCAGCTCCAGCCGGTCACTGGGCAGGTGGCACGGACATCACAGCCCCGTGTCCAGGGGGCCCGGGAAGACGTGCCCCCTCGCCCACGCCATGGTCAGCCCAGTTCCAGCAGAGCCTGAGTCTGTCAGCGATCACAGAGTCAAGGGGATGGCGGGGACCTGCGCAGAGAGCAGGACAGTGGACCCTGGCCCATGTCCACGCGCACTCCCTGCCCAGGCTCCAGAGAAGGGAGAGTGGAGGAGCCAGCAGGGTCCCAGCCTGGCCCGGGCAGCGCAGGAGGGCACGGAAGGGTAGGGATGCCCCCTGCCACCTGCTCTGACCCGAAGCCAGCTGGGCTCTGCCCATTCTCTGCCCTGGTTAGAGGCTCCAGGTCGGCCGCGGCTATGGGGTACTCCGAGGAACAGCAGCCTGGCGCCCGGCATTCTCCGTTCCAGACCCGGGATGCAGGAGAGACCAGCTGGGCAGGCCCAGCCGGAGTGACGTGCACAGCTGGGAAACGGGGCGGGGGAAGTCGGGTGTGGGCACCACCCTGGGGACTCCTGCTTCTAGAAAACCGGCCTCTGCCGGTCTACCCACCGCCGCTGGGCCCCACTGCCCTATGGCACAGTTGAGCTTGTGGTGTTGTGCAGTGACTCGATCGCATCTGAAATGTTGGTAGAGTGTCGGTGTTGGAACGGTTGGGGAAGCCAGTTCCAGGGGCGCCTGGTCATCAGCCACTGGACCGATGAACGTGTGAACTCCGACCCAGAGCACGGTGCCCTGTTCCCTGCTGGGGGTCCCCAGGGTGGTCCCTACATGTGTCCCCCTCCAGGCCACAGGGAGTGGCCAGCTCTCGAAAGAGCCGGGGCAGGGCAGAGAGGGGCTGTCCACTCCATGCAGTGCAGGATGCAGTGTGGACGCGGGACGTGACCGCCACGCCCGATCATCCCAGGAGGAGTCTGGGTGAGCCTCGTGGCCCAGACTGAGGGTCCCAGAGCAGTGCCAAGTCCCATCCCAGCACCAAGCAGGGACTCCAGGGCAGCTCTAGGCGGGGGCACCCCACCTGAGCCGGAGGGGTGGGATCAGCCTTAGAAGATGCTCAGGGGGGCTGCAAGGGGTAGCCAGGCCTGTGTTCATGCCACAGAGCAGCACCTCTGTTGGGGAAGGGCCTGCCCAGGACAGCTGGAGCCTCGGGTCGGGGGTGGGGGCGCCCAAATCTCAGGACAGGG